TGCTTCATCTTTCAAGGCCTCTCTATATTTCATCCAGCCATGGAATTCAGGACCTCCAAGGGTCAACAGCAGGGCCTGAACTCTTCGGGACCCCAGTGTTCTGGGTGGGTGCTTTCTTAATTACTTTTAAGGGATCTGGCATTTGTATCTAACAGATCTTGGGCCTTATCTCTCTCCTGACCTAAGCTTGCCCTCCTTAGGCCAAAGCTCTCAAGTTCCTGACAACTGTGAAAAATAAATGAGAGGATGCTCATCCTGACAGTTCTGCCTGGGACCCTCTAGGTCTGAAAGCAGGCAGGGGCTAGTCTTTTTGTAATAACCAATATTCTGCAGTGTTTGTTTTTCCAGTCCTGATTTATGTATGTCCTCATACAGGCTCTTGCCAGTGGGATTAAAGCCCTCTTGGGAAACGCCACATCTCTGCAAACTCCTGAACAGTGTCCTCTCTGCAAACCTTTCAGAGAACAGGCCCCTGCCCTAGGAATGATGCAATATGGGAAATCTGCAGCACAAGGCAGGGGGCCCAGGATAGGTGGTAGGCTATAAGAGAAAAAGCAAATGTTGATCCCCCATTCTTGCCCAGCCAGATTTAGGGTCTCATGTAACTTCTGTTGTGATATATTTACTTTTTATAAGGAAGTGGCTGAGTCAGATTATTTTTTTTTGTACACCCTCATTTTTTGGATTTATTGGACATCACATATGTATGTAAATTCTGTCATCAAAATATTTTTTTTTTCCTTACTCAAACCTTCCATTTATTTTGATATTTTTATTGTTCTGGCTATATATTACAGTCCAATAGTTTGGCCACAGTCTTTCTTTTTATTGCCTCTGGTACATTTTGCAGTAATGAGAGGAAAAGTTAATTAAGGAGCAAGGTCATCCTTAGTCTGAGAGGAGTGGCATAGTGTGGGCTTTTGACTAACTCCGACCAGGGTTCTCGGCCCAGCCCTGTCATTACTAGCAGGGTGAACTTGGGCACGTTACTAAATTCTATGAACCTCAGGTTCTGCATCTATGAAATGGGTTTGGTAAGCCCTGTCTGGTAGAACTGGCAGGATGTGGGTAATGAATGGAAAGCACTTGGCACATGGACTGGCATGTATTGGATCTCTTCTGCTGACTGGTAGCTGAACTTTCAGACCAAAGATTTCCCCTCCCCTAGACCTTATATAAAGAAGTGATGAGGTGCCTCCCCTAACAGTCCTGCTCTGAGTCTTCTAAGGCTGATATCAAAGGGTAGACACTTTGTTGTCCCCTCTATTCAAGGCTATGTTGTCCCCTCAGTCTCCACTCAGATTCCCTGATTTTACTCCTGGCAGGGCCTGGGGATCCCCTCCTTCTTGACCTGATGACATCTCTTCATAGTGAGGCCCACACTTTCCTAAGATCCAACAAGAGGAAGCAAGGATGGCCTCATCTGGCTACATACCTGCCAATGGTGTCACAAGAATGAAACCTGTGGCAGGCAGTTCAAGGCCCTATCATGGGTAGTTCCATGCAGGGTCCTAACTCAGGGTCCTACATTTTTAACTTCTGGACAGGCCGAAGATTTCTTTTTCTGTTGATGTGAGACTGCCACCCTAAGATCAAGACCCTCACTTCCCTTGTTACCCTTGAGTAGGACCTGATGGGAAATTCCAGCTGACATTTCTGCTTGGGGTCTCTGAGGGCTGACAAGGATTTTGTGTGGCTCCTACTGATGTGGGGTCTGTGGTCCCTTACTCTTCAGTTTCCTCATCCTTATTCCTGTCACACCCTGTGCAAATCCTTCCTGTCTTGACTTGAGGCCTATCTCCCCATATGAAGGGAATTGAAGACCAATTCCTTGGTACACCCTAAGAAGAAGTAAAATTTGCTTCATGTTGCCATAACTGCTCATGTTCTCCCTAGGCTAACAGTATTGGAAGGAATCTGTGCTACCCTCACTGTTATGGGGTAGGTGTTCACCTCAGTCTTCAGGGTCCTCACGTTGACTTCTGCAACAACCTAGAAATCTCTCTACTGACCTGAGGCTGCCCATTTTGTTAATATTTTTCACCTCCGCGAGATTTCCTGGGAAGAAGTGAGTATGATACATCATGTCATCATGTCCAGGTCTCAGGTCTGACAATAGGGACAAGGTTCTACGTGACCTCTTCTTTCTGGGAGGGGTCCCTTCATTGTCACTCAGTGTCATCATGTTGAATCCTGTTAAGGAGCCAATATCCTCCCTCTACTGAATGGGGCCTCCCCTATTAGTCCAAGGACTTCATGTCCCTGAGACCACTCCCCGGCCCTCAGCAAATGTGGGGTAACCCCAGCCTGAAAGCTATGCTTATGGCCTCCCAGGGCATAACTTTCTTTTCTTTTCTTTCTTTCTGAAGTCTCGCTCTGTTGCCCAGGCTGGAGTGCAGTGGTGCGATCTCTGCTCACTGCAAGCTTAGCCTCCCAGGTTCAAGCAATTCTCCCTGCCTCAGCCTCCCAAGTAGCTGGGATTACAGGCGCCCACCATCATGCCCAGGTAATTTTTGTGTTTTTTAAGTAGAGACGGGTTTTCGCCATGCTGGTCTTGAACTCCTGACCTCAAATGATCCACCCACCTTGGCCTCCCAAAGTGCTGGGATTACAGGCATGAGCCACTGCATCCGGCCAGGCATAACTTTCTAAGGACATCCTTGTTCTCTGTTCACCTCTCTAGCAGTTGTTTCCCTCTTTCCGCATATGAGATTTTTACCTTAACACCTATCATGGCCTGGGATTCCACCCTTTGCTTAACTGGGAGGCCAGCCTGTAAATCAAGTCTCATATCCTTGGGATTCTCCAGGAAAAAGACAGGGGCACCAGGGCCTGCCAGCTCCTCCCTGGGCCTCCTAAGGCTAATAGCAAAGGAATGACTAGAGGCAGGCCTGCCAGTTATGGGTTGAGTGGTCCCTATATCCACATGCCAGGCCTTCACCTTGACTTTACCCCCTTCCTGGGACTCCACTCCTTACTGACCTGAGGCCATAGCCTTCAGACCAAAGTCCTCACCTTGCTGGGACCTGAATTGGAAGTCAGTGTCCACCAGGACAGTTCTGGACTTCACAAGACTGACAATTGGAATGTGACTTTACAGGCCCCCAACTGTTCTGGCTGGGTCCTTCCATCATCCTCATTTAGGTTTATTACGTTCATTCCTGTAAGATGCTGGGATTCCTTTCTCGACTGACTTGAGGATGCTGCCCTTAGGGCTCTTATGTCTCTCAGATGCCTGAAGAATATGTGAGGGGATGCTCAGACTGACAGCTCAGCCTAGGACTGTGTCTGAGAGCAGAAGGGAATGGTCTATGTTAAACCCCTGCCTGATATTCTGGGATGTTGGTCTCCCCAGCCCTCATCTTGGCTCTGTCTCTTGGATTAAATGCTTCCTGCAAAATGCCACATCTCTGCAAATTCTAGAACAACTTCCTCTCTGTAAACATTGCAGAGAATGGGTCCCTGTCCTAGGAGTGGTGTGACACCGCAAAGTTGTAGCACGAAGCAGGGGGCCTAAGACTGGAGATGGGCAGCCACAGATAAGACACATTGATCTATTTCTTCTCTTTATCAGCTAGTCTTACACGTTCATGTAATTTCTGTTCTGATAGATTTATTTTCTACAGGGAAGAGATTGTTCAGGATGATTTGGGGAGCCCCTGATCTTTTGAGGTTATCTAACATTGTAAATGTAGATAATCATTCTGTCACTGAATATTGTCTTTCACTTATTTATACCTCTCAGGTTTTTTTGGTATTATTGTTGCTGTGGTTATGTATTCCAATCTACTAGTTTGGGTACAAGGTTATTCTTTTATTACCTGAAACACGTTCTGCAGTAATAAGAAGAAAACCAAAATATTTTTTCAAGGTTTGCCTCAGGCTGAGAGGGGTGGAGCAGTGTAGGCTCTAGGGTAATTCAGATCAGGGGGTTTATCCCAACCCTTTCACTACTGGCCCCGTAAACTTTGGCAAATTACCAAACTCAGTGAACCTCAGACTCTTTACTGTAAAGTGGGTTTGATAAGCCCCATCTCGTAGTACTGGTGGAATATATGTCATGCATGCAAATGTGTCTGTCTCGTCAATTGAGACATCAGGAAGTGGCAATTATTACTATGATGATTTTGGTCAGAGACATTACCAACCTTCCAGCTGAGATTAAAAAAAAAAAAAATCCATTATATCTCAGAGAATACACAACATTTTAAGACTGAAAAACCACATTCAGTCAAAATGCTGCTTATCAATGAAAACTATTCCTTTCATCACCTCTTTTTCCTATTTTTTATGAAGTATCTCACCTTCTTCCATGATGACAGCTTCTCCTAGACTCTACAATTGCATGAGCACAAGTTTGGTCTTCTTTGACTAAACACTCCCAGTACAAGCAGGAAGACTCCCAAAGAGCAGATGCTCAATTAATATTTAAAGTAAGAGTCATAAACAAGAGGATTAACTATGATTTAATTTCTCACACATTCCTGAAAAACATAAACAAATCCAGGTATGTATCTTTATGAAAAGAAAGATTAAATGGAGTAAACCAAGAATTGAACATTTTTACCCCTCTGGCTTCTGATCCCAAATACTTCACTAAGAGGTCTTTCACATTTCCAAAGATATTTCTATTCCAACGCCACATTTTCTTGTCCTGGATTACAAAGGTGATTTAAGGATTTCTATTAACAAGTTGTTTCACTCAAAAAACAAGACACTTTCTGCTATCCCTGAAAAACAGTAATAACAGGGTGATCCATATCATTTGTAAATTTTACATTCTGAATCTAAATAAACCTGTTGAAAGAAACACTAGTTGAAAAAGAGAAAAAAGTCAACAAGTTATTCATGCATAACAAGAACAAAAGTTAACAGGCCTTTTAAATTACAAAGTGAAGAATCTGCCTAAGACCTCAACTGGGGGTGAGAACAGCAGGTAAACTGGGCTTTGGGAGATTGATTGGCCATGGCAGTAGTGAAGGCCTGGGTACAACTCTGGCTCAGACTCCGGCTTTCCCTTCATCTCTCAAAGCCTCTTCATAATGGGCTGGGAAGGCACAGGGGGTGGTACCATTCACCTTGGCCAAAAACTCCAGGACTTTCATCTTGCTGGTTTCGGCATAGGCTCTTGGACCCCACAGGAATTGATAGCGTGGGGGATCACTGTTGGGCACCTGCTTGTACTCCAGATATTTTTCCTCCACCAGATCTTGGGTGATGAGCTTCCGGGGTTCCCCGAATACTAAGTGCTCCTCTCCATCATAGACTCCCAACATATTCAGGAATTCCCAGATCTCTTCCTCAGTGGCAGAGTTGCCATTTAAGAAGATCACACCCAGGAGAGGCATCAGAAGCCCGCTCCTGGGAAAGTCCCAGGTACTGAGCAGGCATTCTTCATCGGTGAGGTCTACCTTGGTGTTGAAGGTGTAAGTGTGGCCGTTGGGTTTGACTTTATTCAGCTCAAGGCCAAAGACAAGACTCAGGCGCTCAGAGGCTTTCTTGAGGATCTCAGGGAAGTGCTCCCTGAACCTTTTGCCAACAATCTTCAGCATTTCTCCCTTTGTAACGGACTCTTTTATTTTATACTTGTACAACAGGAACTGCACCAACATCCCTGCCTTCCTGGTTAGAGGATCTTCGCTTGAGCTCTCACTAGATGTTGAGGCCTGGGAGGAACTTGCGTTTTTCTCACCTTGGCTCTTGGCACCTTTTTTAGATTTTGTGGATGAAACACCTGCAGCAGCAGCAGCGGCAGTGGTTGGGGCTCTCTGAGGCTTCTGGGGAATGCCAGCAGCAGGAGAGCTTGAAGCAGCACCCCCAGAAACAGAAGAGGAACAGCAGGGGGCCTCTTCTTCCTCTGCTTCAGTGACCTGAGGAACATTGAGACCCTGGGTCTCATCTCGGGCCTTGCGGCGTTTCTCACGGGCACGGAGCTTACTTTTCTGACCACGAGGCATGATGGTTGGGTACACTAAGAAATGTGAGCAGAAGAGGTGGTTAGTATACCTGGAGATGGGAGAAAGAAATCTGTGAGCACCTTTAGCTGGAAGACCCCATCTTGGCTTTATTGAAGGAAGCCTGCCTTTGCAAGTTTCCCTGAAGGCGCTGTTCTAGAAAGCCACAATGCTCCTGTTGTCCTGGTCAGCCTTTCCCCTAAGACACCAGAGAAGAACCATAGAACCTCTATAGTGAGTTTCAGACTGCATTCTGTCAGCCCTGCCTTGGGCTTACTATGGTGACAGGAGGTACTGGCAGCAGGGCCTCCTGTCTTCTGGTATTTGAGGTTTTATCAGTTCACTTTTAGGATTATCTTATGAAGTCTTGGCAGGGCCCGAGCCACTCCCTTCCGCCATTGTGAATTTGACACCTCAAAGCTCCCTGGATTCATGAGAAGGAATTGAAGGGGTGCCTCAATCCACCACTCTGACAAGTGACACCCAGTGCTGAGCGTTCAGTGAGGTCTTTGATGTCTTGGAATCATTAGAGTCTTCAGCTCTCATTCAAGGTCCCCACCTTGGCTTCATGTAGGGCTTGGCACCAGCCCCCTTCTGCTGACTGGTGGCTACAGCTTCAGACTAAGAATCTCACCTCTCTTAGATCTTATATAAAAAAGAGAGGAGGACACTAGAACTGATAACACTTTCCTGAGCCTTCTAGGGCTGAAAATAAACTGTTGAACTGGATTCTTTGATGTCTCCACTGTTAAGGGTTCAATGGTCCCTTGAATTCTCACTCGGATTCCTCAATCTGACTCCTGAGAGAGGAGCTCTCCTTTTTATTGAACTGAGACCTATGTCGTCATAGTAAGAGCCAACCTCCCTGAAAATCCATAGGAGGAAGTGAGGGTGGCCTTATCTGACCAAATGTGGTCTTCCCAAAAGTAAAAGCTGTGGCAGGCAGATAACTGCCCTGTGATAGATGGTCCCGCATACAGTCCCAACTCAGCCTCTAAATTTGACTCATGAGAGGGTCTAATATTCTTCCCTGATATGGTTTGGATCTGTATCCTCACCAAATCTCATGTCTAATTGTAATCCTCAATGTTGGAGGTGGAGCCTGGTGGGAGGTGACTGGATCATGAGGGCAGATTTCTCATGAATGGTTTAGCACCATTCCCCTTAATGGTGAGTTCTCATGAGATCTGGTCATTTAAAAGTGTGTAGCACCTCCCCAGGCTGGGCGCGGTGGCTCACGCCTGTAATCCCAGCACTTTGGGAGGCTGAGGTGGGCAGATCACAAGGTCAAGAGATCCAGACCATCCTGGCCAACACAGTGAAACCCCGTCTCTACTAAAAATACAAAAAAAAAAAAAATTAGCCAGGTGTGGAGGTGGGCGCCTATAGTCCCAGCTACTCGGGAGACTGAGGCAGGAGAACTGCTTGAACCTGGCAGGTGGAGGTTGCAGTGAGCCGAGATCTCACCACTGCACTCCAACCAGGCAACTGAGCGAGATGTTGTCTCCAAAAAAAAGAAAAAGTATGTAGCACCTCCCCTGGCCTCTTGATCCTGCTCTGGCCATGTGACATGTCTGATCCCCCTTCACCTTCTCACCTCCCTGAGACCACCTCCAGAGGAAATGAGAGGGCATCTCAGCTTGCCAGCTTTGCCCTGACCCTCCTATTGCTGGCAGCAGATGTGGGTCTTGGGTGTAGCCCTCAACTTCTTTAGTTCCTGGAGAGGAAGTCAGGTTGCACCGCATTTGTCATCTCAGCCTGGGACCATCTAAAGCCCAGTGCACGTCGGCCTGGGAACTGCTCAGCATGACTCCTCTTTTGGGTAGAGGTCCACTCATTGGTACGCAGAGTCCCCACCTTAACCCCAGTTAGGTTTTAGGTTGATGCCATATGAACAGAGGCACGGCTGCTTCCTAGGTTCAAGGCCCTCCCCTCCCTGAGGCTTTCCAGGCACAGCTTCGCTGGGGCCTCCCAGAGCCATCTGCAGGGACAAGACTTCGTGAGGCCACCTCTGTTAAGGGTAGGAGATATTCTCTTCACTCCACATTTACGGCCCTCAAATTGATTTCAGTTAGGGCCTACATCCACTCTAAGTGCAGAATGAGGCCTATCGCCTACGTCCAAGCCTCCTTCCCCCGCGACTGCCCCTCCCCCCACCCTTCCCCTGCCCCGGAACTTTCCAGGTGGAATACTGCCGGACGGCTTTACCGGAGCCTCTCAGGACCAAATGCAGAAGCGGGACTTAGTGGGGCCCTGTTTGTTACGGGTGGGGGCGGTCTCTTCAATTTACACTCAGGGTCCTTACCTTGACTCCCGACCAGTCCTGAGAATTCACCCTCGGCTGACCAGACGCGACACCCCTTATACTTGCTGGGGTCCTCGCCTCCAAAGCGGAAGTCAGAATGAGCTACATCCGCGCGAGTCTTTGTCTTCAAAGCGGAAGTAAGGATGTGTCACATCCGGCAGCCCGTGGCCTCGGAGGACTGACGGCTGGGGTAGGTCGCCGCAGGACGTCACTGTTCTAGCGTCGCTGGTCCCTACGTCCCCACTAGGGGTCCTCACTTCAGTATCTAGCAGCCTGGGACAAATCTGCCTGCTGACCCAAATCCGCCAGCCTCCAAACAATACCCCCACCTCCCTCAGTCCCCACCGTGAAAATCAGAGCATGCCACACAGGCCACCCCTGCCTGGGCCTCACAGGCCTGACAGCAGCGGCGGGGCTCTGTGAATTTGCCTCTTTTGGGGAGAGGTCTTCTCACCTGCACTCAGAGTCCTCACCTGGATTCCCGTGAAAGCCAAGACTCTCTCTCTGCACAACTGGGGTCACCCTCTTCAGACAAAGGCCCTTCCTTCCCCGAGACTATACAGGTGGAGTTAAGGGGACTCAGAGATAGTTATTTTGGGGCCTCTCGGTGCTAATAATGGCGAGGGGCTCCGTTTGGCCCCCTCTGCTGGTGTTGCGGGGCAGAGAGTACCTTCATAACACTTAGGATCCTCACCTTGACTCCTGTTAGGGCCTGGGTTTTGTCTCTTTGAACTAGGGCCATTTCCGCGCCTCTCGGTGCTAATAATGGCGAGGGGCTCCGTTTGGCCCCCTCTGCTGGTGTTGCGGGGCAGAGAGTACCTTCATAACACTTAGGATCCTCACCTTGACTCCTGTTAGGGCCTGGGTTTTGTCTCTTTGAACTAGGGCCATTTCCGCTAGTCCAAGGTCTTCACCTCTGTGAAACACACCAGGCTTGTTGATGGGGTTTCTCCACCTCATAATTCTCTTCTGGGCATCCCAAGAGTGACAGCATTGGTGGAATTTGTGGGCTCCTCTGTTCTGGGGTGGGTGGTTTTGAAACTGCCCCTATGAACTGTATAAAATTAATCAGGGAAGAGGGAAGGGAGATAAATGAAGGTAAGCCAAGCTTGCGGAACACTCAGCATTAATCATGAAGTCAGCTTGCTCTCTGACCTGCTTCCTCATAGTTGTTTGGTGCCTATTATCCCAGAATCATGTAGATCCTGTTACTAGATTATAGTTCCCCTTAATTCCTATATAGATAACAATTTGAACATAATGAAACTTTTTTTTTCTTTGAGATATTCCTTCAGGTCCTGCATAGTGATGATTCTAAGGACTCAGCTGGTCTGAAGGACCCCACTAATGCCAGCTGCTCTAAAGGACCCTACTGACATCAGCTGGTCCAAAGGACTCCACAGGAGCTGACTCAAAACAAAACAAAACAAAACAAAAACAAAAACAAAAAAACTCAGTTTCCACATTCTAATGATTTCATCCCCTTTATCCCAACGAATCAATAACCTCAGTTCTCCAGCCCCTCGACCCCCATGATTTCCTTGCAAATCCCAGCCCAGAACTCTTTGGGGAGATGAATTTGAGAGTCTCTTCTCATCTCCTCACTTGGCACCCTGCAATCGTTAAACTCTTTGCTGCAAACTTTGCCATTTTATTACAGTGTGTCTGTTACTTTGCAGCCGACACACAAACCTGTTGGTCCTATAACAGTTCTCTTATTCCCCTTCAGGTTCCTCACCATGACACCTGACCAGTTTTGGGGCACTCCATCCTCCACTGACCTGAGGCTGTTCCCATGAGATCAAGGTACTCACCCTCTGTGCACCTCTGAACTGGAAGTTGTGGTGAGCTCTATTTAGCCAGGGCTGTTCTGGACTTTGAAGGGTTGACAGCCTGAGCTGGACTTCATGGGACCTCACAGTTCTGGCTGGGTCCTTCCATCATCTTCATTCAGGGTCCTCACGTTCATGTCTATCAGAGGCTGAACTCCATCAACTGACATGAAGTTGACCTTCTTAGGCCACGTCCATGAGAGGTCTGAAGATTAAATGAGTGGATGCTCAGCCTGACAGTTCTGTCTGGAGCTCTGTAGGTCTGAGAGCAGATGAGAGCCAGTCTATGCATAACCTCATATATTCTGGGATATTGGTTTCCCATGTCCTCTGAACTGGGGATCATCTTTGATAAAAGGCTTTCTGGGAAATATCACATCCCTGCAAACATGGCCAGTTTTTCTTCTGCAAACGTTGCAGAGAAGGAGCCGTGTTCCAGGAGTGATGTGAGATGGGGAAGCTGAAGCACAAGGCAGAAGCCACAGGACAGGTAGTGGGCTGTCAGAGAAAAAACATGCTGATCTTTTCCATCTTGCTATACTTAGATTCTCGCGTAAATTCTCTTCTGACAGATTTATTTTCTACAGGGAAGAGACTGTCCAGGATGATTTTGGGAGCTTTCGATCTTTTGAGATTACCTGATAGTGCATGTGTAGATGAACGTATTGACACCAGGTACTATTTTTCTTTTCTTTATTTATGCCTCTCATTTATTTTGGCATTCATATTGGTCTGGGAATGCATTTGACCCAGTAGTATGGGCACAGAGTCCTTCTTTTTATTGCCTGAGATACATTTTTCAAAATTAGAGAGAAAAAAATGAATGAAGTAACACAAGGTTAGCCTCAGAGTGGGAAGATTGAAAC